TCGTAGCAAAGCTGCCCAAGGTCAGCCCTGCACAGCAGCCACACGTCTGGCCTCCTGCACGGAGAGCAGAAGCACTCCTGGAGCTGCAGTTTTCTGCAGGGACCTTTTGCCGGTTTCAGTGGAAGATAAAAAAAAACAAACCAATAACAGAAGTTGCCCCTCTGGCTGACCTGAAGCATGGCACAGGAGTGGGATGCAGAGTGCTGGGAGTTTGCCCTAATGCCCCCACAGACAAACAGGTCCAGGGTCCTTGCTCCAGGAAAGCAGAGCAGGGGATAAGCACAGGGAGGCTGCAGAGCTGTGCCAGCACTGCTTGGAAGTGCTGCTTCATCAGCTGCCATCTTCCAGACCTGAGCTGAAGAGAGGAAAAACACGGCATAGGGAGAAGTGGGTGTGCGCAGGGACATCAGTGGGACCATTACCGGGGCAGAGCACACAGTGCTCACTGCAGGGCAGCCAACGGGAAATGAGAAATGGGAAAGAGGCAGCTGGGCTTCATTCGGGGAGAAACAACCCGAAGGCTCAAATCATCACAGAGCCCCAGCCAGCAGCCCAGATTCTACGCATCCAGATCACTGATAAACAGCAGAAATTATGGGGCAGATGGAATTCCTGGAGCTGCAGCACTGCCTCTGCAGGGACACAGCACACGTGAGCCCCCTGTCCCACACCACACAGCGGCACTGGGCCCGATTCCCTTTCAGCACCTCCCTGACAGCAGGGGGGTCCCAGCCCGTCCTCTGCCACAGATGCAGGGAACATCTCATAACACACCCGAGGTCTCACCTCACCCCACCCGCAGCCAGACACCCAATGCCCGCAGCCCCTTGCCCACAGGAAGCCTGTGCTGCAGATCCCCCACACTGCATGGGATCCATCCGCACACACAAAACCCCACAACCTGGCTTGGAACAACGCTGCCCCAGCTCAGTAACACAAACATCCTCTGTGCTTTTGGGAGCAAGCACAGCTCGGCGGGGTTCCCCCGACCCAGAGCCGCCTGCGTGTCCCTGAGCCCTGGCTGCATGCCCAGTCCCCCAGACAAGCGAGGGCAGAGCTGAGACATCAGTTCTGGGCTTTCAGCGAGGAAGGAAGGAAGGAGAGGGAGGAGCTGGAGGCAGCACGCAGCAGAGATGCTGTGAGCGGGGATGCTGCAAGGCTGGCTGCTGGGGACGTGGGACAAGGACACACAGCACAGTGCTGGGCAAAGGACTGGGTGCCCGTGGGGACAGCAGAGAGCAGCGCCCCGAGCAGCTCACAGAGCCACGGCAGCTCCCGGCCCCTCACCCACCAGCACCCAACGCAGCTCCTCTGTGCCCAGAGCGCCCCAGGGTCGGCAGCCCGGTGGGACGAGCTGCGCTGTGTTTCACGTGGAGCCCACAGGGCAGGTCGGTGTGGCTGTGCCAGGTCGGGACGTGCAGCGCAGGTGATGGCGGCGATCAGCCCTGTCATTATGGCACCGCTCCCCGTGCCGGGCGTTTCGTCACTGCGCTGTCATCGCACCCACCGCCCCTCCTCGCCCTGCAGCACCGCTTGCCTCATCCTCCACTCCTCCATGGAAAACACAGCTGGGACTCAGCCCCGGCACGGAGTTCGGCTCGGTGAGGTGAGCCCACAGCCCTGCGGTGCCACCCGGCTCTGCCGCTGCTCCCCACTGAGCGGCACTCGGTGCACAGCTCCTTCCTGGAGATGCGATGGATTCAAGCTGACAGCGTCGGCTCAACGCCATACAACCAGAGCTGACTCGGTGCTGGAGGTCACAGATCGTGCCCGGGGCACCCAGATCAGAGCAGAGCCCATGGGAGCTCCTGCAGGAACAGGAGAAATTGCGAACCGCAGTCCCTGGTGGTCCGGGGTTTGTTTTAGGTGCATATAAAGGGATTCATCACCCTTGGTATTCAAACAATGCCGTCAGAACACTTCCAGGAATCAGCAAGAAGAAAAAAAAAAATCCCTTTTATATGCTCCCCTCCGGGAGGTCGGAGTGCTCCAATGCTGAACTGAACTCAGTGACAAAGGAGTGCAGGATGGGGCTGGCGGGCACCCAGCAGCTGGGCAGCAGCTCGGCGTCCCCATGGCAGGGAAGGAGAGGGCCGTGGCACAGCCCCACACAGCGCCGTGCCACCTAAGGAAGGAACAAAGAGGCCCCGCCGGCAGCTCTTGGGCCGCCCCAACCCACTGCTGAAATGAGATCAAAGCTCTCCGGCTCCAGGTACCATCAGCACTGCCTCTGTGCCAGCGGTGACCGCAGCTCTGCCGCCCACAGCGCCCGGCGCTTTGCTCTCTGAAGCACGTCGGCATTTTCCTGGAAGATGGCAGAGAGGAGCAGCACCGCTCAGCACGGCACCCGCAGCCACAGCACCACGCAGGTGGAGCAGCTCCAGAGGCCTCACCGCGTCCCACAGAGACGATGACAGCACCGCGAAGGCAGCAGAACGCCAGGCAGGCGAGGCAGGGCGCGTCCCGCCATGGGGAACACAGCGGCTGCAGCCCCTGCTGTCCCACCACAGCCGCGAGCGAAGCAGTGCTGCACAACACACCGGAGGCCCACAGGTCCGGCCCATGCACTGCATCACCTTCTGACCCCCAGCTCCCCCTGTACTGGAGAAGCCGCCGCTTCGCTCTGCCTCCCAAAAGCAGAGCCGCTGGCTGGGGGCATCCATGCCACTTAAACTGTGCCGAGTCCTGTGCAGGGGGCAGCTCCTGAGAGGATGAGGAAGAAGCATTTCCTTCCACAGCACTGCCCGGCCCCGCCGGCTGCACAGCCCTCATGCAGCTCACACTCATCATCGCTGAGGAATGATGTTTATCTTTGCAGGAAGGAATGGTAACGGCAGCTCAACGGCCACAGCTGCCACCCTTTTGCCTTCAAAGCTGCACACCGGCCCAGCAGGGCACAGGTGAGACCCAGAGACACCATCCAGCTGCCTCCCTCAGTGCAGAAAATCAGTGGGAAAAAGGAGCTCCAGCCGTACAAGCAAGGCTCCAAGGAGCCCCAGCAGATCTGTGCCATGGTTCTCCCCTGCACCGCACAACGACTCCTTCAGCCTAATGTTATCCCCTCCCTAACAGCAGGTCAGGCAGATGCAGTGACACCCATCCCCTGCTGTCCCAACCCCAATGCACCACAGCGAAGGGAGAGAAAGCAGGGAGGGTGAGGAGATGGAGTGGGAAATGACTGGGAGATGGACATGCTGACACTACAGCTCCGAAGTTCTACCCATGACCCCCCAAAACATGAATTATCTTGAAGGAAGGATTTCACCAGGATTGACTAGTTAATGTTCAAGCACTCTAAGCACAGTAATGCAACACCTTGTGCACCTGGGCAGACTGTGGCGCCCATGTGGTGTGGGGGCACGCTCTGGCAGTGATTTCCTGCAGGGCAAAGCATGGGGCCGGGACGTGCGATGGGAGCAGGGCTCAGCCCCATGCTGGGTACTCACAGGCAGACCCTCCTCCCTGCTCAGAGCCCTCCATGTCCACTGCAGCAGCACCTCCCAGGGGACAGAGCCATCCCCAAAGGCTCCACCGCTGCTCCCAGTGCCATGTTGGGAGCACGTGGCTGCACGTCCCAGCATGTGCACAGCATCACCGCCCAGCAATGAGGCAACGGGGCCAGGACCGCACCGAGCCCCTGGGTGCAGCACCACTGGGGTGCACTCGGATGCTCAGCCACCGGCTTCCAGGTCCACAGAGGTCCCCGTGCCCCCAGGGGAGGCTGAAGGCCACCAACTCAATTGTGTGCACACTGAGGGCTGCAATCAGCGCACTTCCCAGCCCCGCAGCCCACACAACCCTGTTCCCACTCCCGCCCCGGATCGGGGTGCAGCTGGACGCTCAGCCCCACGCGGCGCCCACGGCTCCGAGCGGCGCAGTCCGGCAGCAGAGCTGCAGAACACCTACCTGCCAGCCCAGTCACGCTCAGCATTTCAGCTGCCTACACCGGGAGGCTGATAAAGAAAGCAATCACGGGGATGTGCCATCTGCTTAACCCCTGCTCTGCAGCTACAGAACAGATCCACAGCCAGGAAACGGGCACGCACCACAGCGGGACCCATTGGTCCGGCTACAGGCAGAGGCCCCACTGCTCATTTTTTTGCAAAGGCTAATTTTTTACTAAGCAGCTCCATGCAGAAAGCTGCTCCCCACATTTCTGGGAGCTCACATCACAGCTCCCGGCCCAGGCAGCACCAAGCGCCCACCTGCCCCTGTGCCCGAGGCCCATTCCTGAAGGATGAGGTGGGGGAAGGGACGAGCCGGGAGAAAACCTGAGTCCCAGCAGGACAAGCAGAGCCCCGCAGTGGGGATGAGGCAGCATCCAGCAGCCCAGCAACCTCACGGATCACCGCTATACAGCTCTCACAGCAACGGCGGGACGTCCTGGGAAAGGAGGGGAGCTGGGAAGGGAAAGAAGGCACAGGAAAGCCTCAGTCCCTGAGAAACACTCATTTCCCCTACGCTGAATGCAACCCGTGACCAAACTCAGCGCCAGCCCGGCAGCGCGGCCACCCCCAGCCGGGTATTTCCAGCCGGCCCGGCACGCCGCGGACGAGGGCAGGGGCACCGCGATTTCGTCTTCTTTCGGCACTGAGAAAAGCGAAGCGGTGCGGAGGGGCAGAGAACGGCCGCGTCACGCAGCGCCGGCACCGAACAGAACCGCCCGCGAGCGTCGGAGGGCACGTTGGGCACCGCGGGGTCACATCGCCCTCCCGAGCCCCGCGGATCAGCAGAACGGACCCGGGTACAGAGAAACGGTAACGGGGCGGGCAACGCGCGGCCCCCGGGGATCGCCGCCCCCGGCAGAACCGCGCGCTCACCAAGCACCGCCCGCGCGACACGCGGCACCCCGGGCCGTTGGAAGCCCACCCGGGGCGCAGAGCCGCGGGGACGTTCGCTCGCCCCGACCGCAGAACCGGAGCACCGCGGCCCCGCAACCGGGAGCCGAGGACAGCCCGGAGCGGCGCCGGGCCCGGCGGGCCGCCCGCGGAGCGCCGTACCTTTGTAGCGCTCCAGCACGTCTTCGTAGGCCTGCACGAACTCCTTCTCCTGACTGCGGTCGGCCGGGAGCAACCCCGGCACGTACCCGGCCATGGCGGCCTTTGTGCCGGCGGCCTCCGAGCAGCGCCCGGCGCGGCGGTCAGCGCCGATCTGCGCGGCCCCGCTTCCGCCCCGCGCCACCGCCCCGCACCACCCACGGCCACGCCCACCCGCCTCGAGGTCACGCCCATCCACCTCGAGGCCACGCCTCCCTCAGACGACGCCCACTCATTGGCCCCGCCCGTCTCTGGCCCCGCCCAACCGACGGCGGCACCGGGAGCGCCGCGCCCTCTGGCGGTAGCGCTGTGTCGGCACCTCCCGGGGGCGGCGCTCGGCCCGGTGCGTCCCACCGTCCCCCGAACGCCCGGAGCCCCGCTCGCAGCGCAACCCCTCGTCCCGCCGTTCACCCCCAGCACGGAGTCCCGGTGCTCCGCTCTGCCCCCAGCGCACCGGGGATGCCGCGCACGCTTCCCCCGCCCCGGCTCCGCCCCCCCGATCCCGTCGGGCGATTCCCGGCGTTCGGGGCCGCCGCAGGACGCGGCTTTTTGGCCCCGGCCGCGCCGTTCCCATGGCAACCAGCGCCGAGCGAGCGGTAACCGTGGCGACGCACAAAGCCCCTTCCGCGCCGCCCTGGCACCGTCGCCACCCCGCACCCATGGTCTGGCGGCACCGCATCCCCCGAGGACGGCCCCGCACAGGGCACGGCACCGCGGGGACGGCCCTGCGGCACCTCCCGCTCCCAAACGCTCGTCTCCCTCCTCCCCCCTCCTCGTGCCCCGCGCACGGAGCTCAGCGCGCAGCGGGGACCTCGGCCCCTCCCCGGGATCCCCAACGGCCGCCCCTGCAGCGCCGCTCCCCCCGCACAGAACGCGCTGAGCGCTGCCGCTGTGCTCCCGAGGGACAAAGGAGCATTCCCCGCAAACGCGTCCCGAGTGCAGACGGAGCGGTAAACACTGCGGCCAGCACTGCCCGATATGACCGCCCAGCATGGCCCAGCACCGCTCCAGACCCACACAACAAACCCAAACCCTGACCGCGCTGTCCTGCAGGATGTAAACGTGTAAACTGGGATCCTTGAAGAGCGGCCCCCCCACCGCAACCGTCACCCCCAGGAGGACACGCGGACCGGCAGCCCCCGGCCCCATCGCCAGCCGCTCTGCACTGCCAGGGACTCCGCCACGTCCCCATTTCCTCGCTCCGGTGGCCATAGAGGGGACCGTGACCACTCGGCCCCACACCGATAGCGTTGTCCCGGCGGTGCCACCGCACTCCCCCAGGGCACAGAGAGCGTGGAGGCGGTGGGGGGGCTGAGAGCCGTGCACGACCGCGGGCGCTGTGCCCGCAGTGCCCGCACCGCTCACAGAGCCCAACGCTGCAGCAGCCGCCGCCCCCAATCCGGGCCCAGAGGGACCGATCCCCCCCCCGGGTGTGGGGTGAGCGTTGTGTAATGCAAAGCTCCAAATCAACATTTCAGCTCCTTTGCAAACCGCTGACACCAAACTGTCTCCAACTCTTTCTTCCCGGCTCGGCGCTGTCTATTTGCACCACGCGAGTTATTTTTAATGGGAACTCTGCATGAGATCGGATTTTGTGACATCCCTTCGCCTTTAATCATGGGTTGGATCGACCCAGCGCGACGGTGGGAGTTCGGCAGCCCCATCCCGGTGCTCGCAGCGGAGCTGTGCGGGTGGGACGGGACCGGGGCAGGACGGGGCGGCTCTTCGCTGCCCGCGGCGCTGACGGTGGGGCAGGGCTGGGCCGCACCCTGCGCATTTGCCTCCTCCCGGTCCCAGACGGCGCTTGCAGAGCCTTCATTTGAATCAACTGGTTCTTCCTGCCCAGAGCACGTGAGAGCGCACACAGCCCCGTGTGCCGGTACTGGGGATGGGTATTGGGGTGCTGGGCGAGGCAGGGGCTGGTGGGCGCTGAGGGCTCGGTCCGTCTCGTGTTTTCCCATGGGCAGACCACAGTCAGGGTCTGAGGTTTCGCTGGGGCTCCTTGGAGGGGTCTGGAGGTGCCAACATCCCGGCATGGCGGTCAGCATCCTCCTCCTACGCCCTGCAGCACGGGCTGCACCCTGAGAGCCCTCGGGGGAACTCGGTGTCCCTGTGCCACCAGCACAGTCAGGGCTCAGCGTGGCCCTTTGGTGTGGCACAGGCTGCCCCCAGAAGCCCCGTCACACAGCCAAACCCGGGAGGAAACCCCAAACCTCCCAGGGCAAATTCCTGCCCGAGTCTGGCCAGGGGCATTGCTCCAGCAAGGAGCCACTCAGCCCTTAATGAGGCCCCTAACGTCACCCAGTGAGCCCCGGAGGTGACCCATCATCAGCTGAGAGCAGGACCTGAGCCGCAGCCATGCCCAAAGCCACCACGGAGCCAAATCTCACCGCCACCAATGGCGACATCCCTTGACTCCCCCCCCCTCACTTGTGAGCACCATTCCCAACCTCTGGGCACAAGCACACCCAACACCTTTCCATCCACCCCAAGCCATGCCAACCAGCAGCCGATGGCAGCTGACGGCCTGGCCACATGGCAGCAGGGTCACCCCGGCCACATTCTCCCCAGCGCCACGAAGCCCCAGACGTGGGCATCCCGTGCTGTGCTTATGGGGCACAGGGCCGGCCGCTGCCGTCACCTCCACCACCGCTGGGAGACCCCACCCCGGGCGCTGCGTTACCTGCAACTCTGACGACAGCCCTCTCGGCCGGGTCCAGCACCGAGTCCTGGCTCTTCCGCTTCTTCTGCTCGTGCAGGGGCAGATTCCATGGCAGGGTGTCCCCAGGGGGGCACGGGGAGAGGCTGCCCGAGCGCTCGCTGCGGTACGACCGCTCACTTCGGCACGACCGCTCGCTCCGGCACGACCGCTCGCTGAGGGTCTCCTCGTCGGAGGACGACATGGCCAGCAGGGCAGCAGCTGCGGGAGGAGCGAACACCGCGTGACAACGGGACAACGGCCGCTCCCTCCCACCGCGGGCGCCGGGGGACAGAGGAAGGACCGTCCCACCTCGGCCACGTCTGCCTCGTGCCGATGTCTGCACGCCCTCCCGCCGCTCCTGAGCGCTGCCTCAGTTTCCCCATCGCCGGGAAGCCGCTGCCCCGCGAATGGGGCCGGCAGCGCAGCCACCCCTCCGCCCAAAACCCACAGTGGCATCCCCGGCACCGGCTCGGTGCCACAAAGCACAGCGCAGCCTCTGGGCTCCATTTCTTTGTGCTCGGCACAAGCAGAAGCCATCAGACCCGCGCTGCCCTTTGTACCTGTTTTTTTTTTCCCTCCGAGTGGGAGCAGCCTTAAAAATCCCATTAATTGTGTCAGGAGAAAATGGTAGGGCTCCCTGCAGCGAGCAGGGGGAGAGCTGTGTGGCACACACACGCTGGGCAAATGAGCACCTTGCATGAGGCGTATTCAAAATAATTCCTATTGTATCCTCTGTCTCGGGCAGGGAAATGCACCCGAAATGTGTGGGGCTCCCACAGCCGCTGTGCCACAGCCCTCCATCGCGCAGAGCCTTTCCTTATCCCCATCATTTCCTCAGCAAAATGCGAACAAAGAGAATCCCCCCCCCCCCCCCACCCCAACGCAGGGGAGGGAGGGGGGGATGGCTTCCATGACTCATTCAACCCCACCGAAAAGCTGCGAAAAACGCATCCCGGCGTGCGGGCAGCCCCAGCGCGGGGCGGTGCGGGGCCGGGAGCGATCTGCGGGGGCCGCAGGTGCGGGGGCAGCGCGTCCTCAACGCCGCCTTTCCGCGCTCCATCCCCGCTCTCCGCTTCCGCCCGACTCCGCTCCATCCTCACCCCGCAGCCTCTCCCGCCGCATCCCCGCTTCCCCGGCCCCGCTCACCCCCGGCTCGGTGCGGTGCGGCGCTGCGCGGCCCGGATCTGCGCGGGCAGAGAGCGGCGCTCCCGCTCCGCTGCCGGTGCGGCCGTTCCCAGCGCCGCCGTGCTCTCCCGGTACGGCCCCGCCGCGCTCTCCCCGCTCCGCCGCTCGGCGCCTCCCCCGGCCCGGCCCGGCCCTGCCCACCGGGGCGGCAACGGAGCGGCGGGGGGGGTCCCGGCTCCCGCCCCTGCGCCAGCCCCGCCGGGCACCTCTACATCGGGCCGCCCCACGCCGGGCATTCCTCACGGCCGCCCCAGCACAGCGGCCGCCCCAGGGTGCCCCCACCCCCAGGGTTCCCCAATCCCACTGTCCCCCTCCCCTACACGCACCCCCGTTCCCAGGGCCTCCTCAGAGCACCCAACAGCTCCCCCCTCCCCCCCGCCGTTCCGGCCCGCCTTCCCCCCCATCCCTGCCTCCCCCCACCGGCTAATTACAGCGCTCATCGATCAACCGCAGCGGTGCCGAGAGCACGGCGGGGCCACAAGCGGGGTGCGGGGGACAGAAGCTCTATGCCACGGCTCCGAGCCGGCACAGCTGCCCCCGGGGCGCTGCAGGCAGCCGGGACGCATCCTCCCCGTGCCCCGGGGTCTGGGCGCAGCCATCCGCTCACGGCATTTCTCCCCGGTGGATTCCCATATCTCATCTGAAGCCGTCCCACGGTTATCTCCCGAGCACCTCGAGTGAGGGGAGGCGACGCCGGGCACCCCGCAAGGAAGGGATGCTCCGGAAGCAGCCGTGAGAGCCGCGTGTTTCCCTGCAGCTCAGAGGCAGAGCAGGCAGGGGAGCACAGGGGGACGCTCAGCTGAAACCCACGGGGAGTGGATGCCCAAAGTGCGGCCCCAGCACAGCCGGGGACACTGAGCCCAACGGCAGCAGCAGGAGGGGAGGAAATCACGCAGGGCTGAGCGCCGTGGATCCCTGTGGGATGCGTCCCTTTGTCACCTCTGCTCGGTGCCACCCACTGGGGCCCCGGCCCTTGTGGAGGCCTCAGAGCAATCGAGCGCTTTTGCACCATATTAAATCCCAAATAAATTAAGAAAAGCAGCCAGGAAACGCTGCCTGTTCCAACCTGCACACATTTCACACCCAAAATGCATTTCCGAGGCTCCCTCGCAGCGCGTTGTTGCTGATCTGGATTATTTGTGCTGTGAATCTGGGTTAAGGCCACACGTTGTTTTGCTGCACGGGACTGGGGAGCCGTTACTGCGGGCTGGGGCTGCAGCACTGACTGCACGCATCCCCCCGAGCCACCCCACCCCGTCCCTGCAGTGTGGATGGTCGGTGCACAGGGCTCAGGCACACGGCGCAGATGAGCTCTGGGCAGCTCCGCCCAGGGTCAGCCCCCCTCTCCCTCATCGGAGCCTCTGCCAAAGCCCGCAGCTCCAACTTTTCCCTGACGTTCTATCAATTATTCACCTCCCCAGGGCTCTGTTTCTCTCTCCTGCACAGAGCTGGAGGTGTGCAGCACTTGGGGGCTGCGGGGTCTCCCCTTCCTCCCCAGACCCTACAGACATCGGGTTGTGGGAAGGAGGGAGGGAGGGACCTCAGCGGAGGAGAACGGCAGGAGTGCAGCGTGGGAGCAGCGCGCAGCGCAGCTGGGGAGGCAGCGAGGCTCGTGGAGTTGTGGCTTCAGTCCCACCCCGGCCCCTCTGCCTCCATCCCCGCTTCTCTCCGGAGATGCATTTGTCTCTCACGAACTCAATGTTTGTCATCAGCTCCTTGATAACCTTCCTTATCAGCCCAAGTTTCCCTTTCGGCTGTTAACCACAATGAGTGTCTCAGCTGCTTTCCATCCCCGCTGCTGCACCTCGGCCGCATTCACATCTATTGCAGAGCAATTAGATTTTGGATGGGTCTAAAGAGCCGCTTGGGAGGCAGAAGCGTTTGGATTTATTTCAGCGTTTCCTCTGACATCTGGACAGCTCAATTACATGAGTCACTCCTGACAGCAGCAACTCGCCAGGGTTCTGCTCTGCACTTTTTTCTCTCCCTGGAAATGCAGCTCTCCTGGTTCAGGGCCACCCCTGCACTTCACAGGGCAGTGACCACCAGGCCCCAAACTGTTCCTATTTCTGCCCATTTCTTCACACCCTTTCATCTTTCTGGCATTTTCCCTCATTTTTGCACCCAAATCTTCCCCTCACCTCTCATACCTGGAACTCTTTCATTCAGTGGAACAGCAGCGATATTAGGTAAGATTTCCTCTGTTGGAATTAATCACCACCAAACAGTTTTCATATCTGAAGGATCTCTGAGGGCTTTGGGGCTGCTACAGAAAGCGATGCAGCCGCCCCACCTCTGGCAGCTCGTGGGCACCACCGGACTGATTCAGGGCTCACACAGACAATGCCAGGAGTCCCCTCTCCAGAATCACACCTGGATCCATCCAGGGCTCAGCAATACGGCCACGGGCAGGAAATAGGAGGAAAATACTGAAATTGATGATTAATACATTCTTTGGAATAACCTGGAAGAGGAAAGAACTGAAGGCACAGCAGCGTGCACCAAACAGGAGCAGCCTCCCAACATGGAGGGCTCAGCCTTGAGCTCCCGGAGCCCCGTCCCCACAGCCCCGCACCTGGGCTGCAGCAAGGGGCCCAGCTGGGGCTGGGGGAAGGGAGCAAGGGAGCAGCCTCTGTGGGCTGGCACGGGTCCTACAAGGGGCAAACTCCCCTGGGATGGCACTGTGGGCACCGGCGCCCCTCGGCAGAGCCCAGCCCTGCCTGCTGCAGCTGGAACCACGCTGCTGTCATCTGTCATCTCGGCGTGGGGATTTGTGAGGATCGGGAACCTCACGTGCTCTACCTGGATTCAAAGATTAAGCATTAAACCCGCAATCACTGGGATTAAAACCTTGGATTAAAGCACAGACATTTCCCCCCTCCACTTCCAGGTACTCCACTGCTTTAATGCTGTTACAAAACCGTGCTGAGTTTGGAGGGGCTGGGGAGAAATCTTCCCTTTAAAAGGAAAAGCACATCGGTGTAGGCAGTCCCAGCCCCGGGGCTGCTGCAGTCAGGCACGCTGCACGCTCGATAGATCGAGCTGACACACAGCATTACAGAGCAAAGCTTCTGCGTGAGGGGATCTCACACAGATCGCAGGGGTGGGACAAAAACTGCATCTGGATGCTGCTGCCCAAATCCTCATCAGAGAGCTGTTTTAACCAGATTTTCACCTCTCGGGCCAATACCACCAACTGGAAAGCGGCCCAGGCAGCCCAACAAACACCAACCACGTATCCTGCCCATAAAACCACACCGGGAAAGGGCTTTTCTTTAGCAAGTTTTCCAGGACACATTTGGATGAGATTTTACTCCTTTACGCCCTCCCCCATTTCAGGGCTGGCTGCCCTGCCTGCAGGTGTGAGCATGAAGGAACCCACATGGCCCCATAAGACGGGGGCACAGCACCGGCAGCTCCATGTCACCCCCAGCATCAGGGCAGCTTTTCAGGAGGGTTTAGAAGTTATCTTGGTTCAGAAAGGAAGACAAGACAGAGCAGAACGCTGCTCCAAAGGAGACATTTACTAGCCAAAGCAATGATGCCCCACACTAGCACCGCTCTCCTCTGCTCCGAGCTGTTGGCAGGGCCCTCTCAGCACTGGGACGGCTGCAGCAGAACCCCACCGTTCCCGGTGCTCTCCTTCAGATGGTTCACTTCCATGGCTGCAGACGAGTGCTGTCGGGTCCCCTGCAGGTCCCCGTGCCTCAGGGCCTGCTGTCCTTCTCACCCTTGTGGTGCTCGGGCGGGGTGTACTTCCCCTCCTTGATCATCTTGTCCCTCTGCTCCAGGATCTTTTTCAATCGCTGAGCCTGGCGAAGCACACAAGGGATGACAGAGATGCGGAGCCAGAGAACGGCAGAACGGTCGGGTCGGAAGGGACCTGAGAGATGCCGCGGGCAGCCCGCCCCCCCCCCCAGCGCCCACCGCGGCCTCGGGCGCCTCCGGGATCGCAGCCGGAGGATCGCGGCGCCGCCCCGGGGCTCCGCACGCGCTTCCCGTGCCGCCGTGCCGCGCTCCCCCCCTCCCCCGCCCGGTTCCGGGACGCCCCGCCGGGCTCACCAGCTTGGTGCGGTGCATGCACTCCATGAAGTCCTCGTACTCGGGCTGGCACTCGCGGCGGGCTCGGGTCTGGCCCAGGCCGTGCCCGCACTCCACCCACTCCCGCTCGAAGGCGTGGCACGCCCCGGCCACCCCGTACGGCTGCGTCGCGCTCTGCCGCAGCAGCCACCGGTCCACGTCGATGCCTAGCTGTCGCTGCAGGTCCCAGAACGGCATGGTGCTGTGGCGACGCTGACCCCGCTCCCGACGCTGACCCTACCGCGACACCGCCCTGAGCTCAAAACCGGCTCCGCCCCACCCCGCACCGACCGGCCCGCCGCTGTCCTTCACGGGGCTTTCGCGACGCTGCCCGCCCTCAAGTGCGGCCGCAACCGCGACACCCGCGCCGCACTTGACGGCGGAACCAGAGAGACGGGCGGCGCGAGCGGCCCTCTCCGCTGCGGCGCCCCCTGCCGGCACGGAGGGGAAACCGTCCGCCGCGCCCCAGCGCCACCTGCAGGCCTCTGCGGCACCCTCCGGGCTGCCGCGCCCCGTGTCCCATTGTCCCGCGGTGTCTCCGGTGCTCCCCGCGTCTCCCGTGCTTCCAATGTCTCGCAGGATCCCCCACTGCTCCCAGTATCCTCCAGTGTCCCCCAGTGTTCCCATTTTCCCCCACCGTCTTCCAGCGCTCCCTGTGTCCCCAGCCTCTGGCTTTCAGGCTCTCACAGTGTTACAATCTTTGGCTTTTATGGCCTCCCACCGCAGAGCTGGGACAACGTGGCACCAGGGGCAGAGGTGTTCATTAGGGCAGGAGGGTTCATTAAGGCTCCCAATGAGCCTCAGCCACCCCCTAGCAGCACACATCCCAGAACCCACCTGCTGTCCTCACATCCCCCCATGCCCCAGGGCACCTCCAAGGCTGGGGACAACAGCTTTGGCATCTCTAATGAGCATGGCCTCATTATGCGGCCAATTGCTCATCTGAGCCGGATCTTCCGCCACCTCAGGCACAGGGAGGGGAGGGAACGCCAGGGGGGTCCTCATGGCGAAACCCGAGCCAGGCTCAACACCTATTTATTACCATAACTCCTATGAAAGCACCCAAACCCGCTGAGCACACCGTACAAGCAGGAGGAGCAGGACTGTGCTATGCTGAGCTCTGCCTGCAGCCCTGTGGGTGCAGGGTGCTGGTGTGGGCCTTCCCTGCTCAGATGATGCTGGCTGGGGTGAAGACCGGGGGAACGCAGAGGGACTCCACCATCTCCCAGCCACATGAGAGCGGAGTGCAGGCGCTCTCATGGTCATCTTCTGCTGGCGGTGGCTTCCCCTGGAGGAGCTGGAGGGCCTTCCTGCAGGCACAGACACCCAGAGGGAGCAGGAGGCACCCACTCATGAAATGTCACAGAATGGTTACCCCAGATCTGCTCCCCTCCCGCAGGCAGGGAGCCCAGATCAAGGGCAGCTCAGTGTCTCCAACTGGCAGTCCTGCCCTCAGCCTGCTCACACAGGGCTCTCTCTTACCAGGCCAGGCGGGACATGGCATAGGTGACGTGTGGCCGGGGACACCCACTGCACAGGGATGAAGTTGCGATGGTGTAGGCACCCATGTCCTGGAAAATCAGCCAGTCCCCATCCTGCAGCTCAGGCAGCTCCGCATCATTGGTAATCTGGTCCTCTGCATGCCCCAGGGGACCCCTGAGGCTGCTGCTGCACAAGGGGTGCTCTTGGCAGGGCTTCTGCAGAGGACAGATCATGTGGCCACATGAGAGAGCATCTGCACCACAACACCAAGCAGTTTTACACAAAATAAGACTCTGGCCCCAAAACAGAAGGACCAGCTATCAGTCCCAAAAATGCTTCTTAGGGACTGCGCAGATCAAAGCAGATCTCACAGCACGGGAGGAGCACTCAGCAGCAGAGGACAACAGGACATACCACGCTACTCCGCAGGGCTCTCCCCAGCCAGGCTGGATCCTCACCTTGTGCAGCAGAGGCTTGGGGCAGGGACTGTCAAACAGGACACAGCTGAAGGTACCGTAGATGCCATCGCTGAGGTGATAGACAAGGCTCCTCTTGCTGCCAGACTCTTCCCCTGGGGAGTAGGGAGAGGCTCGGGGGCACATGGGCACAGAGGCAGATCCATCCCATGAATCCCACTTACCATCAGAGCCTGGCTGTTCCATGGGAACCTCTTCCTTGCCAGTGATGCTGGCTGCAAAGGTGAAGGCTGAGGTGACATAGTATCGCCCGGGTGTGGCAACAATCTCCACCCCACAGCCTTCCGGGAAATACATGTTCAGTGCAGAGTTTATCACAGCAGCAATCTGGATGGGAAGATGCACTTGAAGTGAGCTCAGTCATGCTGCTCAGCACAGGGCAGGGAACCAGCTCCAGTCTCACTCTGCCTGCCCAGAGCCAGCACTGGGAGGCACATACCTCTTCAAACTGGGCTCTGGTGTCCTCGGTGCCAGGAAATCCCCCTCCGATGTCCAGGAGGTGCATTCGATAGCCCAGCTCTGTGCCCACATCAAATGCCAGCCGTGCCTCTGCGACAGCCTGGGCAAAAACCTGGGGCTCCAGGCTGTGGCTCCCAAGGTGAAAGCTGAGGGCACAGCCTCTGTTCAGAAGGGCTGCCCATTCCACGGTGGCAGAAGGGGGACATGGCACTGAGAGATCCCCTCCACAGCAGCTCTGTGCTCCCCACATACCTTCCTGGGAGAGACTGCCCAATCCACTCCACTGAGCCCCCCTCTGCAGGCCAAACCTGCCCCAGATTGGTGCCAATAAGGGACATCTTCCCTAGGTGCCAGCCCCCACCTCACTGCCAGACCATGCCGCCCTGCAGTGCTCTGTGGACTCCTGAATTGTTCTAGCAAGGCAGAGCTCCCTGCAGGGCTGCCCAACAGAGGCTCAGCACCCCAAGGGGACAAGGACGACACGCCTTACCTGATGCCAACAACCTCCACATCTTGCTCCTTTGCTGACTCTAGCAGGTGCCGGCAGGACTTGAGCGTGGCCCCAAACATCATGCTTGGATGGGCAGAAGGGCTGGGGTCAGCAGCAATACCCAAAAGCATCCTGCACAGCAAAAAGCACTGTTGAGTCTTTGGGCCTCCACCAGCCCACAGCCACCTCTCCGAATCCCACCGTAGACCCCCAGTCCAATGCTGCCTCTAGATTCTGCACCAACACCAACCTAGCTTGAGGGTGGCTCCTGGCCACCTTGCCCAGCTCCACCTCGTTGTCGAAGGTCATCAGCTGCACACCGTGGCTGGCTGCATATTTGACGTGGGCAACCTGCTTGCAAGGGCTGCTGTAGAAAATCCTGTCAGCTGGGACCCCGATGCTTTGAACCTCTGCAATCTCTGTCTGCAGGGAAACAGCACACATGAGGCAGGTCTCTGGGAACAGCCCTGCTGTGCCTGGCCATGGCTGGCTGCGGGCCCCAGCCAGCTTGTAGCACTGCAAAGGGCAAACCGCCAGCACCGCAGCCTGAGTTTGCTCAAGAAAACTTTCCTAATCTACCAGAGCTCACAGGGGTCACCGTGGGCTTTGTCCTGACATGGGTAGGTTGAGGCAAGGTGTTCACATGCAGCACAAGACCAAGAGGAGAGAAAACAAGCAGAAAAACTGAGGAGGCGCAGGTTTGGCATCTTCCCTGTGAAATGCGGTGAGATCTGAGCTGTAATGAATTCCCACACTTTCTCCCCCTGGCAACATGTCCTGTTCAATTATGTGCCAGCAAGTGGCTTAACTTCGGTTCTCCTCGGAATCTGGCTATCAGCAAACGGTGAGCAGGACGGAGCAGGAGCTCTGCGCTCGCTCCTAAAACCGCTGGGACGGCGGCGGCAGCGGCACCCCAAGGACGCGCCCTGATCGCAGCCACGGCGGCCAGGCGGGACAACGGTTAGACAGAGAAAATGTCGGTGAAAGGGAGCGAGCCTGAATCACCGGACAACAGGACGGGGCGTTCTGGGCTGTGTGGGCAGGGTTCTGACAGCAGGGGGAGACTCTTGCTGCTGCAGATGCTGGCTAGCGAGCGGAAGCCCCACGCGTGCCCGAGGAACGCTCATCCCGAGCCGCTCCCCGCCGCACCTTGTTGGCGCAGGCAAAGCCCGCCCCCAGCTCAGCCAGCAGCCGGATCACCGCTCCGCTGCTGTTGCACCTCACGGGGAAGTAGGGCTTCACGCGGGGCAAGGCCTTCAGGAAGCGCACGTGTTTCTTCACGATGTCCCCGAGGTCTGCCACGAAGAAGGCCTGCCGGTCACCCTACGACGAAGCTGAAGTGAGCAGCAGTGGCTGCTCTGCGACCCCCTGCTCCAAGGGGGGACGGACGCAGAGCGCGGCAGAGCTGCCCGCCCTTACCGCCTGGCACAGCTCCAGCAGGGTGCTCTCCAGGAGGTCCCTGCTGGTGAAGCCCTCCTCCACCATCGTGAAATTGGATTCGTTCAGGTACCCGTTCATGGTCAAGGTGTGACAACACCAGCGCGAAGCCTCCTCGAGCGGCTCCGGCTCCTCAATCTGCAGCACGCTGGGAAAAAGAAAAAGAGGCGGAGCTCCGGAAAGTCCAGCAGTGCGGCGTCCCGGCTGGTCCCCAAAGCGCCCCCGGCCCTGCGCGGTGTGCGGGGGGCGCTGCCTCAGGAGCCCCGTGCTGTTCTCCAAAGCGGCACTCAGAGCAGCGCTGGGGTTAAAGCGTGCTCACCAGAGGGAGGAGGCGCGTTTCTCTGCAGTGCAGAGCTCTGTGTTTTTGTTCACAGCAGCTGCCTTTTTCAGCAGCACTTCGGCACCGGTGCCACGAACAGCAAAGCCAACCTCACTGTGAAGCCAGTGCTTTATATATCCCAGAACGCGTGTTTTTGTGCTTCGGCATGCAGTTAGACCTGCTGTATGTTTCAGGGGGAGAAGTTTCCTTGTGGTTTTCAAACTGCCAAAGTCTCAGACCCACTTCTGGCCACACAAGCCTCAACAAAAGCAAGGCATTTCTAAAGAATGTAGCACTCCTGGATGTGGATCCATGCTGTGCTTCCAGTTTCACTTCTCTCCCATGACACAGTGTGTGGAACAAGAGGACAAGCTAGGCAGCACGGTTGTGTTTCCTGGCTCACACAATTCATGGAGCAGCTTTAGCAGCCTCTTTCCTTGGATCCAGCACATCCCATAGCCCAGGGAGCAGCAGACCTAACACAGGCTCACAGGAAACATTTCCACTCCAATAAGCCAGGTCTAGCCACAGGGCTTTTACAGGAAAATTGTCCCTCTGATCAGAAGTGAGCAGGAGACAAACATTTCATTTCTCAGAGCTGAACAGCACCTCCTCCTCTGCAGGGACCTACTTACAGCATTTCAGATAGGCACCGGGAGAAAAACCACACTGACCCCCGAGCAGCAGTGTGTTGTAACACATTGAGCAAGCACCAGCAGCAAAGCCCAGACACAGGGAAAGGGCTGGGAGGCTCTAGGGGCTCTGTACTCATAAAATGAGAGCAACTCCGCTGGCCTCACCCTTCACCCCCCAAAGGCATTACAGACCATTCTTGAAACTCAGTGCCGCCAGGCATTGCCCTCTGCTCCCCTCCTCCCCACGCCAGGCAAGCCAGCAGCCCCGCAGCTCCGCCACCTCAGGAAGCATTTCAGCAGACTGTGGCCATGAAGCTCCCGCGAGAACAAACCGCCCTCAGCTGCAGCGGCTCATCCTGCCCCGGTGCCCCGCCTGCCCCCGACACCCTAAGCCAGCCAAGCCTGCAGGGGGGGAAGCTCCTCAGCCTTCAAGTCTCAGCACCCTCTCCTGCTCTGCCTCACAACCGTGGCCGTGGCAACCGAGCCCGGCCAACCCCATTGGCTGAGCCGCCTCCGAGCATCCTTCATCCCTTTCCCGGAGCACAGCGAGCACCATTCCCCCCCGCCCCCCGCTCCCATGGCTGGGGCTGCCCCCGCGGACACCCTGGGTTCTCACCGCGTCCCCGGTAGCTGGTCGCTCATCCCCAGCCGTGCAGCACAGAGCTGTGAGCCTGCCTGCAGCCCGGCCCTGCTCTGAGGATGCTTGTGGCTGCGCGTGCATCGCGTGCGCGGGGATCCTTGGGGGGAAGAGTGCCAAAAATACCTCTGAAGCACCGCTTCCAGGGCAACGAGGCTTTGTGCAGATAAAAGCTGAGCAGCGCCTGCCTGGTAGGGATGTTGGCCAGGGGAGGTGGGCAGGGAGATGTCAGGGACTGACTCTGCCCTCTGTCGTGCTGCTGCCAGTGTTTCCCAGCAGCAGAGCCAGCCCTGCCAAACATGCAGATGCCCTGTGTCTGCCTTTGCCTGCATTCGTGCACTTGGAAATGACTCCATGGCTCCCTCTCACTCACACCACAGGCTGAGTGGATTTTTTTTCTACTTCTTGTTAATTTGCAATTCCTGCTCTCTGGTCACTGGGAAGACAACACTCAGAGCACGGAGGAGCAGCTGCCCCCCCCCTCCATACAGGAGATGAAAGGGACCCGGAGCCTTTTTTCTTGTATTCAGCACTGGCTCCGTCATGGCCTCTCCTGGCAGCCCCGGGCAGGGAAGCTCTCTTCTTCGGCGACACCCTGCCCTATTCCGCCCTCAGTCGGGCACCAGGAGCAGCCGCAGCTATAAACGCGCCGTACAGAGACATTCCCTGCAGTGGGGCATCGGGTCCCCGCAAGCGCTGAAGGCTTTTTGTGCCCACACCGCGACACGGGCAGCGCAGGAGCAGATCCAGATGGAGCCAGGGCAAAGCAATTCAAAGCAATTCAAAGGGGGCGAGCGAGCCGGCTGCGGCACGGAGAGCTCTCAGGCTGTGGCCCAGCAGCGCCGCACCCGAGTTCCTCCCGGAGCTGCTTTAGTCCCTGCGTAAGGAAAGCCTCGCGCCGGCAGCTCGCACCCAGCACGCTCCGCACGGCGGCGACCCCCACGCCCGCACAACGGCCCGCCGCTTCCCCGCGCACGGCCCCGTCCCCGCGACCCCGCCCACCACTCGCGTGGCCCCGCCCACCACGTGTCCGCGTGACCCCGCCAGGCGCAGTCGGTGGCGGCCATGGCTCCGAGCGCGCAGGCGGGGGGCGGCAGCGGGCAGGCGCCGGGCGCGGGAATCCGCCGGGGGATCCGCGCGGTGCTGCTGGGGCCGCCCGGCGCCGGAAAGGGCACCCAGGTGAGGGGGCGGCCAGCTGAGCCCGGGCGCGGCGCGGCCTCCTCGGGCTCGGCTCCACGGGCCTGTGCGTGGCTGCCCCGCGGGGGCACCGGGCGTGCGGGCCTTTATCGCGGCCCCCGTAGGGTTTCCTGGAGCCACGCGTTCCGTCCCGTCCCGCTGCCGAAAGTGGGGACGAGGTCCGGTCGGCGTGATTCTGGGTCTGGGGGAGCCCGTCCTGGTGGGAGCAAAATCGGAGCGGCCTCGTCCTCTCCTTGCCCGGATCCGAGCCGGGCGCTGCGCCGCGGGGCCGCCGCTGAAATCACCGCGCTGGGCGCTCACCTTCCTTCCGTCCTTTCCTGCAGGCTCCGAAGCTGGCCGAGACGTACTGTGTCTGCCACCTGGCCACGGGGGACATGCTGCGGGCCATGGTGGCCTCGGGCTCCGAGCTGGGCAAGCGACTCAAAGAGACGATGGATTCGGGGAAGCTGGTGGGTAGCAGCTGGGGGGACAGACTGACACATCCTGTACCAGCAGCAGCCAAAATGCACCTCCTTGTCAGAAGCCCAAGTGACAAAACCCAGTATGTGCAGGAAGGGCAGATTGTAGGGTGAAGGCGACGTTCTCCTTATTACCCTGCAGGAAGAGCGTCCTGTAAAAGCATCCTCCTCCATCACGCTTCTCCTTGCTTACCAGCAGCCTCTGTGTCCTCAGTTGTTCCTTTCTGTCGTGGAGTTTTCACACGCGACGCAGTTCCAGTGTCACTTCACATTCCAGGCCATTGCAGGGTTGACGGCTTTCTCCTTTCACCTGCATCCCAGATCTGCTTGCCTGTAACTGTAACATGAAAGCGGACTTAGGAATGTTGCTGTGGGAGTTACAGCGTAACAGTGTAATGCTGCACAAAAGCCACTTGCGTCCCAGGGTTAGGTTCTCTAGCACATCTCTGTTCTGGAGATCTTTCAAAATTACTGAGATCCCTTAAGGAAACCTGAGGGGCAGCAAACCGCGGTGCCTTGCCCCACAGCGAAGCAGTGTGGGCAGATCTGGGGCATTGCGGCTTGCTGTCACTGGCTCATAACACCCCGAGGAGACTGCAGGCTCAGGAACGAGGTGGCACACGTCCAGCTTTAGCTTAAAGCGTGCATCGCAACACTGAGCCTGGTTGTGAAAGATAGGGACCTTATCTGGTGAGCGCCAGTATCTGCTGTGTGTGTGAGGTGCGGGCGCTGTGCTGCTGTGTCCCGTGGGTGCTCTGGCTGCCTGATAACTCAGCTGGGAACACAGCAGCACTTGGATCTGGGATGGTTTTTTTTTATGCTCAATTATGTGTTCATTCCTTCCCTGAAAGGGGTAATCAGGAAAGCACAGAAGTGTTGCTTTACCCAGGCTGCTCCCCACCCACTGCTTCATGGTCCCGTTTATGTGCAGTGACAGCCTGCTCCTGGGTCCTGCTTGGTCTCAGCTGTGCGTACTGGAGGAAGCAGCACCTGCTGATGATAAGGAGAGCTGCTATTGGAGCAGACACCCGTTCTTGGGGCTGCAGCACCTGGTAGTACTTCTGAAATGCTGCAGCGTAGGGAAGGCACTGGTTCCAGATATACAGAGGTGGTGATGTGGGAAGAGCTGCCCAGCAGGGCCAGAGTCTGTCAGCAGCTATTTGGGCATTTACCTTCACACATGCTTCACGAGCATCAATGAAAAATTCACATGCTTTGCCCTTCCTGGCTGGGCCTGCTTACTCAGAGATGTGTGAGCGAAGGAACAAAGTAACAGGAAATAAAGGTTATGTTGGTATCAATGGTTGTACTGAGAATTGGCTTAAGGAAAAAAAAAAAAAAAAAAGGGAGATCTAGGGAATTTGTCTTAAGATTGATTGCCCATTTTGAAATACAACCTTTGCACCAGAGCTGTAACTTCACTGTTAAAAGTCCCTGCACAGGCCGGGGTGTCCCTGGTGTGCAATGCCTCGTGGGCTCGTCGGGTCTTCATGTTGGCACCATGTGGGATGTGGGCATGGCGGAGTGTGCAGCTTTCACCCTGCTACAGCAGTGACCTGTGATTCTGCCTTTGGGACTGGGATCGGCCGTAGGAAGGCTCTGGTGCAGGCTGGGTGCTGGCACAAGTACAGCTGCTCTGTGGGCAGCTGTGTGTAAGTCCCTGCTGCCTGTTGACCACGCAGCCATCTCTCCTCTTGCAGGTGAGCGACGAGATGGTGGTGGAGCTGATTGAGAACAACCTCGACACCCCGCCCTGCAAGAACGGCTTCCTGCTGGACGGCTTCCCGCGCACGGTGAAGCAGGCTGAGATGGTACGTGAGCTGCTGCTCGGGCAGCTCTTTTCTTCTGGGAGATGGGAAGCCCCTGGTTTCCCTCTCTGAGTTGGGCGTTTGCTTTTGCAGCTGGATGAGCTCCTGGAGAAGAGGAGAGAGAAACTGGACTCCGTCATTGAGTTCAGCATCCCTGACTCCTTGCTCATACGGAGAATCACCGGACGGTAACTCTTCTCTCCCAAAAGCTCTGGGGGCTCCTGGTTCATGGGAGAGTGTCCTTGTTTGGGATCATTTTGGTCATTGTCACAGCACTGAGACCAGCCCTGCAGTTAGCCCTGTATCAGATATCTGCTCTGTTTGAGCCTTCCATGGGCCAATCTGAACACAGCCTGTTGCTGATACGAATCAACAACCTTGGTGACCCAGCTCAGCCCTTAAGCCTGCTGTCTGACAGCTAATATCTGCTTCTCTAGTGCTATTACTTCTCCCTTATGCAAGCCGTTTGGGCACTGCTGAACCTCCTGTTCAGGATCAGTCCTGGCTGTGCAGAGATGCAGATGTCTCCTGCTGTTTGCTGTGGCGCCGTCACCTTTGTGCTCCTCCACTTCCTAGTGCAACTTTATTCCAAGCACTTGAAGAGGCCGTTGGTACCAAAATAGCAAGAGAAAATTCTCCTAATAGCAGGTTTTTCTGTGCTGATGAATGGCAGGTTCAGGAGACCTCATCCTGGCACAGGACCCCTTTGCTGACACTTGCTTTCTGTCTTAGGCTGATTCACCCAGCAAGTGGCCGCTCTTATCACGAGGAGTTCAGACCCCCGAAAGAGCACATGAAGGACGATGTATGTGAGCTCCGAGGCCACAGCTTACCTTGCTTTGGGTTTAGCTGTGCTTTGCAGCATCTCTGGAAAAAACTTGTTTCCTTTTCTCCCACCTTCTGTCCTGCCTTTCTGGGGAGCGTGGGGATCTGCTTGGGCAGCCGAGGCCAACAGTACTGCAGGCAGCAAGGCCTAGAGGGACGAGCGAAGGGTTTGGCTGTTCTGTGGAGCCCGGGCTCTGCCACGTCACAACTTGGTGGCCTCTGTCCTTAGCTGAAGTTGCAGTGGGTCCCAAATGCTTTCCTTCCTGGGGAGCAGCTGTAGCTGGCATTCGGTCTTGGGGCTCCTTTTAGCAAGCAGAATGGTGCGTGAGGGAAAGACCATCGTGCTGAATCCTTCTCTTCAGTGATGGCTCTGGGACTTGGTTTGTCTGCTTTGGGTTCACACTGCTCTCCCACGCTGACCTGGGGACTCAGCTCTGCAGCGCTGCATTGCGGCCCAGCCTGGAGCAGGGAAGCAGGGGTTGTAGCTGCGCAGAGAAGGGGGGAGCGCAGCAGGCTGCAGCTGGCTGGAGACTGTCCTCTTGCTTCTCCCAGGTCACTGGAGAGCCCCTGATCCGCCGTTCAGATGATAATGAAACAGCCTTGAAAACCCGCCTGAAGGCCTACCACACACA